TTTCAATGCATGGGCCGATGTGTAACCAACTGAGCAACACCAGCCGGGCTAGCAGTTTTAACATGAAGAAGCAATGCTGCCTCACCCCAGAGCAAAACATAGAGGGCTATCCATCAGTTTCTAAACTGTTAAAACACGGACTGAGAGCAAATTTGAAATAATACCATTTGAATTCTACCATTGCACAATGATGTGGATGTAAATTCAGTTTTACAATTAAAGTCAGTAACTAAAATTGTGTGAGAAAATCAAGGTTGCCTTTGAAATACATAACTCCAGTTGCCACATATGAAAATAATGAGTCCGGTGGCTATTTTCTAATCGAGACAGTAGTTGCATCAACTTTCCCGGGGATTGTGGACAGTCGTCTATTTGACTTACGGCTGTTTATATGTCCTTCTTATCATCAAAAGATCGGTTTCAAATCTGATTTGTACATAAAATTATCTTTACTAATGCCAAGCTACAAACCATCCTTACAAACATTCCAATTCAAACCTAAAGGTCAGAAGAAGCTCAATGCAACAAATAAAAGATATTCATTTAAGTTCCTTAATATAAAAATTCAAGTTCATGAATATCCATATTCTCAGTGTGTCATGATAGCTTCTCTGGAACCACACAGCAACCATACACCAAACTTTAATGACCAGCTACTAAAAATCACATGTGACTTCTGTGGAGATATGTACGGTGGACATATGATCACTGTGTGGTTTCTGAAGTAACTGTTAGACATGTTAGGAGAAGCGCTCGTTGTAAATACCGAGTCTGTTTGCATGACAAGGCATGTGGCATATCACACTCCCTCCATCTGACCCCTCCCTCTGCAGCCCCCACTTCTCTCCTCTGCCCGTTACCTGTCTGCTCCCTCCTGTCACCCACCCCCGAGCCTCCCCTCCGAGTCACACCTTCTTCTCCCCACGCCCACCATCTGGAAGCCAGCATGGCTCTGCGGGAGCTTCTCCATCCACATCTGTTGCGGCGCCAGCAGGAACAGGGACAGCTGCGACACTGCCGGTGCCCAGGGCGGCGGATCAGGTAAGTCCTTTCAACTCTGACAGGGGCGAGCCAGAGACAAGGACACCCAGGTTGCGAGAGCCCGGAAAACTCTACAGTGACTCAGCCCCTGGTGTGCTGAGCACGGGACAAAGCGGTGCTCCCTACACAAGAGGCACAGGAATGAAGGATTCTAGCAAAGGGCTACCATCCCGGGAACCAGGTAAGGAAATGCACGAACAGTGGGAGCTCAGTACACAGATGACGAATGACCGATTGGACGCACAAGCCCGAGGGGCTCGGTGCAACCAAAGACCATCACTTAAGACAACAAACACACAGCAAGGGCCTTGTGCGGGAGAATGATTCAAAATTTGTCCGGGCAGAAGGCATCTGCGCACCTAGAGCTGCCCACCCACGTGAAACTGTTACATTAAAATAAAGGAGAGAGAAGACAAATAATAGAAAGGAAGGAAGGAAATCTAAAAGTGCAAGCAAGCGTGCCTTGCTGCTGGAAGGCGGGGAAGCCAGGTCCGGCAGTAACTACAGGACATTTACAACATCGTGATTAACGGTCCATCTCCCTCTCCCATGAACTGCCTGTGCGAGGCAGTACGATATACAGTCCCTCTTAATCCCCAGGAGAAAGAATTATATTGGATTAATTTTCAACTGAAAAAGTGAGCTTCAGTAAATTAAATAATTTGCCCAAGTCCACTCAAGCTAATAACTGAAATGTAGAGCTAGGCTTTCTATTCAAAGCTGTGCTTTTACTCACATGAAGACCCAGGAAATCTATCTAATAAGCCACAAGCTAAAATGTATGAAATGTCGACTCGAAGTCAGGTATTGTATTAGGTTCTCTCAAAACATTATCTTACCGAATCCAAGCAATTCATTGAGTAGATCAGCTCCATTATTTACCCTTGAAATTTAGAGGGGGTCCAATTCTTCAAGGTCACAGTCAGGTCAATTTAGATTCAACCCTAAGACTTTTACTCCAACGCCACTTTTTGCCATTTGCTGGTGACAGCACCCACCCCAGCGCTGGGACCACTTGCAGCCTTTACTCCTGCACCTGTACTTAGGGCAGGGCCTACAGATCAAATGACAACCAAGACTCACTGAGGGCAAGACACATGACTCAGCCTCAGAAATACATTGCGTCTCTGTTGTCACCGTTATTCATGAAAGAATTGTCAGCATGAGAAAGAGGCTCTGTTACCTGTGGAAGCACCTGGAATAGTGCCTGGTGCTTTTCAGCCCTCCCTTGTCCTTTCTTAGCAGGGACTCTCGTCAAGATATTTTTACACAGTGAACTACTCAGCGAGGCAAAAGTTTCCACTAAACAACCAGAAAACAAAAATCTCCTACGTGTGAACAGTTGCCGGTCTTTGCAATCGATACCATTGTCTCTCAGCTCACGGTTTTACCTCCCTCCAGGCCTTGGTCATGTCGGTATGGCCAGAATTCCTCCCCATCCTCTGCATTTCTAAATCCCCCCTATTCTTTGAAGCTCAGCTGAGATGCCACCTTCTCCGAGAAGCCTTCCATGATCTCTTGCAGACAGGGATTCTGATGCTCTGAATTCTCAACATTTTGTTCATACCTTTTCCATGGTATGGAGCCTTTTTGCTGCCTCTTGTATATATTCGTTCATTCAACAAAAATATATGGAGCACATTTTATGTGAGAGGAATGTCCACGCTATGAGGGTGTTAAGAGGCCATACCATCAGGGGACTCATAGTAAATCAGGAGAGACAAACAATTCAACAAGAACTTGCAATAAGTTGAGTTTGTGAGCCTCCGGGAGAGGCTCCTAATTCATCCTCGGGAGGCTGTGAGAGGAGGTGGCACCAAGAAGGACTTTGAAGGATCCATTGGAGTGGGCAGAGGAAGACTCCTCCAGGCAGGGAGAAAAGCACAAGCAAGATCCTGAAATAAAAAGATAGTGTGGCCCTAGCCAGTTTGGCTCAGTGGATAGAGCGTCGGCCTGCAGGCTAACGGGTCCCGGGTTCGATTCAGTCAAGCGCACATGCCCGGGTTGTGGGCTCCATCCCTAGTGTGGGGTGTGCAGAAGGCAGCCAATCAATGATTCTCTTTCATCACTGATGTTTCCATCTCTTTCTCCCTCTCCCTTCCTCTCTGAAATCAATCAATAAATATATATATATAATTTTTAAATATAAATTATATATATATATAATTTTATATTATATATAATATAATAAATTATATATATATAATTTTTTTAAAGGAGCATGCAATGCAAGAAAGAAAGGCCAAGGGAGATGAGACTGAAGAGCCAAGGAGGGGAAGGAAAAGCAAGAGGCAAGAGACTGCCATACTGAGATGTTTACTTTGGAAAAACTGTCCTGGCTGTGGTGTGGAGAGCAGTCGGGAAGAGGTGAGACTGGAAGCAAGGGGAGCACTCGGGCTGTAGGAATCACCAGAGGGTGAGCGATGGATCCTAGTGGGTTGGAGAGACAGACAATCTAAAATTCCTAGGGGCCTGACCGGCATGGCTCAGTGGTTGAGTGTTGACCTATGAACCAGGAGGTCACGGTTCAATTCCAGGTCAGGGCACATGCCCAGGTTGCGGGCTCGATCCCCAGGAGGAGGTGTGCAGGAGGCAGCCGATCGATCATTGATGTTTCTCTCTCTCTCTCCCTCTCCCTTCCTCTCTGAAATCAATAAAAATATATTTTTAAAATGATCCTATATAATAAAAGGCTAATATGCAAATCATCCCCTCAACCGGGAGTTCAACTGGGAGTTCGACCAGGGGGCGGGGCCGCCAACCGCCCGCGGCCCTTCCTATTGGGGAAGGCCAGCCAGACCCTACCCGTGCACGAATTTGTGCACAGGCCTCTAGTAATAAAATTCCTAGGCGCCCCAATCTCTAGAACCCGGTGACATGATGACATGGAGGGTCGGGGGGAGAGAGAGGAGACGGATGATTTCTGAGCTGGCGACTGGATGAATGGTGGCTCCGCTAGGCGAGAAGAGATGGGGAGGAGGCTGGTTTGGGAGCTCCGTGGAGAGCGGAAGATCTAGAACTCAACACCATCTGCCTGGGATGAAGCCACTAGAGCTAAGCTCTAGATCCTGAGCTTAGCTCTAGATCCTGCCTCCAGCTTCTTTCTGAATGTGTCACCCTCATTGCCTCAAAAGCGCTCTAAACTCAGAGTGACTGAAAGACACACCTCATCCTTCTCTCAAATCAGGAATATTGATTCAGAGAAAGCAGAGAAAGAGAAAAACCTTTTAAGGGGAATGAGATCTAAAAACTATTCACTAACAACTGCACAAGAAGGCATGCAGGGAGCATAGCCACGTAATTTCAGTGTTTTGTGCAAGAGGCCTCATGACACTGCCTCACCGAAAGCCACTCAACGCCCTCCCATCACTTTTTGGGTGAAATTTAAAGTCCTCCACGTGGATGTTAAGGGCCTTCATGATTTGGCCCCTCCACACTTCTCCCAACTCAACCCCCACACTGTCCCTCACTTCCTATGCTCCAGCCACCCGGGTCTTCAAATTGATTATTGGAATCAGATGGATTATTCTATTTGCAAAAGTCAGAGAATATAACATTGAGAAACACATGGAAAATAGAAAATGTTTACGAACTCTGAGTAACAAGAAATTTGACTCTAAAAGATTTTAAAATTTAAAGTTCATTCAAGAGTTGCAGCCTACAGCCGGGCGGACATGGCTCGGTGGTTGAGCGTCAACCTATGAAGCAGGAGGTCACGGTTCGATTCCCAGTCAGGGCACATGCCCGGGTTGTGGGCTCGATCCCCAGTGTGGGGTGTGCAGGAGGCAGCCGATCCATGACCCTCTCTCATCATTGATGTTTCTCCCTCTCTCCCTCTCCCCTCCTCTCTGAAATCAATAAAAATGTATTAAAAAAGAAAAGAGTTGCAGCCTACAAGCCATCGGTGGCTCCGCCGCACACACTCCTGCCGTGTGGACAGTGAGCCGATGCTGGAGTACCTTGGACCCCATGTCCTCGCGCTCCTTTGTCAGCTCGCTCTTCATCAGCTCTTTGTCGGCGGTCCTCTTCTCCTGCTGAGCGGCCAGCTCCTTCCCTAGGCGCTCCGCCTGCCTCTCCAGCTCACTCCGCAGCTGCTGACACTGGATGAGGGCCTGCGGAATCAGACAGCACATGGGAGCTGGGAATTTGGAAAAATAAGGGGGAAATGAGACAGTTAAGCTTTATTTTTATTTAACACGTTAAGCGCCCAGTCAGTCACCGGTGACTGATACTATACTTTCCATCCGGAAGACAAAACAGGCTGGGCGCGTAATGTGTTAAAATACTTAAAACACACCATAGCCCTCGCCGGTTTGGCTCAGTGGATAGAGCGTCGGCCTGTGGACTGAATGGTTTCAGGTTTGATTCTGAACCTGAAGGGCACATGCCCAAGTTTCGGGCTCGATCCCCAGTAGAGGGTGTGCAAGAGGCAACTGATCAATGATTCTCTCTCATCATTGATGTTTCTCTCTCTCTCTTTCTCTCCCTTCCTCTCTTAAATCAATAAAAATATATATTTTTTAAAAAGACACACTATAAAGTCAATTAGACAATTTGTACACTTACTAATATAACAGTATTCGAGTGTTACATTTATTTTGATTCGCATAATTAAGGCTACATTAACTTTTATCAACTAACAAAATTCAGGAAACAGGCCTTGATGAAGGCCACTGATGAGTGAGAATCCTGAAGAAAGGGGGATCAGAAAAATGAAGTGCTCTAGTACTTTTGATTATATATCATGTTTATACTACAAGAAATATGCAAGTATCCAATATAACTGATTTTTCATTTGCTCATGGTTAAAGTTATTTGAATATTTTAAATGTTAAACATGAAAATTTTTTAAAAAGATGTTGAGTTTATCATTACATACAAGCATCTGTTTTTTGTTTTTTTTTTATCATTATACTAGAAGCCCGGTGCATGAAATTCGTGCATGGGTAGGGTTCCTGCCTGGCCGGCCATCAGGGCCTTCCTTCATTCCCCGCTGCCCCCTGGTGGTCAGTGCACATCATAGTGAGCAATCAGTCTTCCGGTCAAACTCCCACAGGGAAATTTGCATATTAGGCTTTTATACATATAGATAATAACCAAACTTCTTTAAATATAACTAAGGTCAGATTTAGTTCATTCCCCTTACACCCATAACTACAGTAAAAATTAGATAGTAATCAAAAGTGAAGATAAGGAAAGACCAAAACATCGTATTTGTTTTATAAAATAAGAATTGCTATCTTCCATTTCTAGTTATTTAAAAATCCATAACTGTCCATTAGTTTAAATTTCCCATTCTACAATTCCAGAAGTAGAAATTCTATAACTTCCTCTTGGTTATATTCATGTTATGTGTATATATAATACTCAATAATAAATGATGACTTAAAAATTCCAATAAAATTAGGTTGCTTCACATAGAAAATCAGAGTCATCCTAAGGTGTCTTAGTTTTATTCCAGTGGCTCTTGCTTACAATATCACCTAGTCCATCCTCTATTTCCCCTGAAGATAGAGACCCACGTGTCATGTGACTCACATACTGTGTGGTCATAAATCTCACGGTCACATTTGCTGTGAATGGAGACGAGTGGGTCTCAGTGAGCACCAACTGTAAGTTACGCATAGCTCTGCTTCCCTCTGGTGAGCGCTACAATAAATACAGATGATAAATATCTAGGACATGTGAGCTTTCAGTCCTCAGCTGGGAAGTATTAAACGACAATTTCTTCCCAACTCTTCTGGAAAGTTCTGTATGCCCAGATGAAGTAGGAGGTTAAAATTAAATTGTCACATATTAGCTGGTAAGTAACCACAGTTACTAAAAAATGACTCTTCCCAGGGAACTAGTCCCAAGTCCAATTTGAGTTGAGAATGTTTTTTAAAAAAATTTTAAATTAGATTTTAAGAGAAATTTTAAAAAGCACATTTTTCTAAAATTTAAGTCCCTGGAACTTGAAATATTATGAATTAGAGACTTTTGTGCTTTAGGCATACAATTTCTCTTGTGAAAGATATTTTATATGAACCTAATACAAATGTTCATAACTTCTGCTAATATAATGAAAGAATAAAAGTACTATTGAACAAAAACTGAGGAGTCAATGTTTTTTAAAAATATTTTTTTATTGATTTCAGAGAGGAAGAGAGAGATAGAAACATCAATGATGAGAGAGAATTATTGATCTGCTGCCTCCTGCCCGCCCCCTACTGGGGTTCAAGCCCACAGCCCAGGCCTGTGCCCTGACCAGGAATCGAACCAGTGACCTTTCGGTTCTGGAGTTGACACTCAACTGCTGAGCCACACCCAGCTGGGCCGGGTGTCACCATTTTTAAGTGCAGAAACAGTGGAAGGGGGTGCGGACGATCCAAAGATCAGGCCGACACGAGGAGCGAAAGATCCATTCAGGGAAGCCAATCAGCTGAGGAGCAGGAGTAGGGAAGGATGCTGACAGTGAGCGGCCTGATGCCAAGAGAGGATGCTCTAAAGCAAGAGGACAAGCAAGAAGCTGCGAGCCACCCAAACAAAACCACGGGAGCCTTCGCGTGAGGTTGGCCCTCTGTTCTAGGACTGGCCACCTGTGATGAGACACCAAACCAAAATACTGATTAAACACTGGTTATCGATGGCTCTTGGTGTGTGACCAATGATTCCATATTGCAACATAGTACTGACTTTCCTTTGTTTTAATCTTAATATATATGCCAGGTCAAAGTGAAAAAAAAAGATTAAGGCTTAAAACTATTGGAATTAAGAAATAGGTTTACTCTTTCTCTTACAATGGACATCACCTATGAGAAAGATTTGGTTCTACTAAGTAAATCTTTACAGCCCTGGCCAGTGTGGCTCAGTTGGTTGGGCATTGCCCTGTGCACAGAAAGGTTGCTGGTTAGATTCCCTGTCAGGGCACATGCCTGGGTTGCAAGTACCGTCCCTGGTAGGGGTATATAGGAGGCAGCTGATGAATGTTTCTCTCTCTCTCCTGACCCTATCTCCTCTCTCTAAAAATCATTTTAAAAAAAAACATTTAAAATTAATTTAAAAATAATTACGTATTCAGAATTTCCATTAAAGCTTTTCCTTTCAAATCTAGGGTTCCAGCTCCTAGTTTTCGGAATCCCAGCTGCTTCGGAACGCCCTGATTATACTCATCTCACCATTCGGTGAAGGCATAACCGAATTCTCAAAGGCCAGGCCAGTGAACAGTCAATCACGATGAACTGATAGGTCATCAGAGGGGACTGCATTAATGTGGGGCCTGCAGACCCCATTTCTCCAGCAGTGGCCAAGGGGGTGCCTTCCCCGCCCCCCGAGCACCTGCTGGAAATGGTGGAAATGGCCGCAGGTCTGAGGAGCTGGGACAGTGTGCTTCCCCACCCAGTACCCTCAGTCCTCAGGGACCTTCTCTCCTGGGAAATTCCTTTATCTGTGGTCATTCTTGATGTTCCCAGTCCTGGTTTATTAAACCACATTTTCTAAAAGAAATATCTATCTAGTTAACTCCATTTTTATTTATTTTTTTAAATATATTTTTATTGAGTTCAGAGAGGAAGAGAGAGGGAAAGAGATAGAAACCTCAATGATGAGAGAGAATCATTGGATCAGCTGCCTCCTGCACACCCCACACTGGGGATCGAGCCCACAACCCGGGCATATGCCCTGACCGGAATCGAACCAGGATCTCCTGGTTCACAGGTCGATGCTCAACCACTGAGCCACACTGGCTGGGCAGTTGACTCCATTTTTAAAATAGGAAACCTATTAATATAAAAAAGTCCTTCCCAACTGCCAGGGTCAGGCTCCTAGAAACCCTGTGATAGGATTCATCATTACAGAATTAAAGATCTAATGAAAGATACATTGGTCACACTTATGAATGTAAACTTTAAAACATATGACAATGTTTTTATTTTTTATGAAATAAAGCCCACAAAATAAAAATGGTTACCAGCGTGTTTTAAGCATTTAACGTATGAATGGCATCAATACTGATATTTCATTTATAAACTCTCGCTTACCAGAAACCAATCAACCAGCCTTATCCTTACCTCCCATGTTCAAGATACTCAGCATTTTTTTTTGTTTTGTGGACGATAATGTAAGCATCCAGAAGAATGAATTATTTTCTATGCCTGTGACTGCAATCAAATATTCAATGCTTTTGTGATTGTTTTTTTTAAATTCAGGTTTCTCATTCTTGCCTTTCTGGTTCTGCCTTAGTCCAGGAAAAAAAAATAATTTGGATCCTTGAAAAGGAGAAAAAATAAAAAGGTTTGGGGGTATTTATTCAACCTACTGCATTGGTATTTTTGAAAAAAACAATCTTTCTTGGCAAGGCCATGTCATTGATATAGGCTTGGGGTTACGTCATGCCGAAGCCTCCAGCCTCCCTTCGGAAAGAGGCAGGCCGGTTGCGGCGGGTTGATCACCTTCCTACCGGTAGCTCTCCCGAGGCAGCACTGAAAAGCCTCTGCTTTTTCACCCTCCTTTAGTCCCAGGTTAATTTTTTTTTTTTTGCCTCTTTTAAGATTATCTCCACTATAATGATTTGCAATTTTCAAAGAAAAACAAAAACATTTACTGAGCACTTACTGTGAACCAGGCACTTTGCTAAATGGCTTCTGTGGGCTAATTTCTTTAACGCCCTCACTAAACGTTAAGTGGTTCTTATCATTCAGTTGAAGAAACTGAGGCTTGGAGCCATTAAGTAACTTGTTCAAGATCAAAAACCTAGAGAGTGGCGGGTAAAATCTGATCCAAAGTAGTTCTACAATGGAATCTGTAGGTACAAAATTATGATTTTCTCTTTTATAAATCTGTTGTCTTATAAATTTCTCAGGTGTTTTCACTGCCACTAAATGTATATACTGTATACATAAGATTACTTTTTTACTTACTTGCATGCATTGTGCAAAGTCCAACACTAGGTGGCACCAAATATCAAGGAACTACCAGAACAAAGTACCATTTCATAGCTCACTAACAAAGTAGTTGGTTTCAAAATTAAAGTATGTATGTTGGCTCAGTTTTTATTCCCAGAAAGCAAAACTACTAATGTTTTAACATATCTTAGATAAAAACCAGTAGACTTGCACTGCATTTTGTAAACTGC